TGTGTGTGTGTGTGTGTGTGTGTGTGTGTGTGTGTGTGTGTGTGTGTACACACACACACACACACACACACACTCTGCTCTGGCCCCATTAGCTCATGACTAACGGCTTAGCAGCCGTCTAAATGCACACACTATACCACACACACACACTATACCGCACGCACGTACGGCGGTGGTATAGACTCCATGCATGCCTTGCTGGTGCACTGAGGCGGTTAACCCTGTAAAGCTGCAGTAAGGGAGTCAGATGGCAATTTATACAGTGTGTGTGTGTGTGTGTCAGTTAAGAACATGGGACCAGAGTGCAGTATATATGTGTGTTTGTATGAATCTATCTTTTCCGAGACTGCAGACGCGTCTTTTCTAAGAATCACAAATGTGTTTACAGTGAAAATAAAAGGTGTTCATGTTCACAAACTAACAACATTGTTCCTTACAAGTAGCATTAATGTGAGTGACTGACCTTACTAACTCGCCCCACTTTGAATAAGAAGCAGACGTGAATGCAGAAGCTTTGCCACTTGGAGGCAGCAGAGCCTGCTCAAAATGCAACGGGCATATTATCACCTTACAAAGTCGTTATGTCTCTGCTTTGATCTCCTCCTGAGAAACATGTCTGCTTATTTAGCTGCTAGATGTTCCTCTTTCTATACCAGCCAGTACTGACTCACAGGGGCCCATTCTCCACCTCCTCTTGCCAGCATTTGGCCCTTAGAGACCAAACGGTGCCAGACAACAATACTACGTTCATGTCATCGTGTCTTTAAACTGATCCCGTCTTCAATTCACCTGACGCTTTACTGCATTTGATTCTACTTTTAAATCTACTCTATTTTAATTGACTCAGTGATGACAACCAGCTGCTGTATGTTTGTGTACATAAAGGTTGGGTTGTGTGTCCGTGTGTGTGTAAGTGCTGTTTAAGCAGAGTCTTTGTTGCACTGTTGCTGAAACATAAGCTGATGATGATTCTACAGGTGTGTGTGTGTGTGTGTGTGTGTGTGTGTGTGTGTGTAGTCACGCTGGTCCTCTCGTATCAAATTGTGCATTGGACAACTGGATCAGCTTTCAGTCTTACAAAGCAAAGACATCAGCTTTTTGTCTCACCGGACCAAACACACACACACTCACACACACACACACAGCAGTTTAAGCATCTGTGTCTGTCCAATAGTCTGTCTGTTTCCTTTTTTTCTCCCTCACTCCAATGATCACAGACAGCCCACTCCTTTGTGTCACTTAGACCCATGTCTTCCCCTTTCTCTTTCTCACACACACTCTCTCTCTCTTTCTCTCTCACACACACA